CTTCTCTTTTATTTCGATATAAACATAAAAAAAGGCCGGTAGCTATACTTCTTCCGTAAAAATCTATCGATTTGATTTCATTAAGCGTTATTACGCAGTAGAGGGTAAGATGCAATGTTTTCCATGCTTATGCGTTTACCTAGTATATATCCTCTTTGGCAAATACATTCTACATAAATTATGTTGGCCCGCAGGCTACAAATAAATTGTAATATTGGTTCATGGTATGAATCAGGAAGATTCATATAATTCTGCGCTGAGTGGAAGTAGTTCACAAAATGTGTTTTTATCAAAGTACTTACTAAAATGTCTTTGATATTTATTAGTTATGAAGTGTTACTCATTATAAAATATGATAATGTGATCTATATATTCACATATTTATCTATGTACTTATATAATTTATATATATATATATATATATATATATATATATATATATATATATATATTATCCTTTGAGTAGGGAAATACGCCACTTAGCATTGGATACAGTTCTTTATGTTTCATTGGTCATAACATTAAAGCTTGAATAGTAAAGAATGTCACATTTAGTCACATAGTATGACGTTTAATATTACCTTCAATATTCATATTTCCAAATAAAATGATTTTATCTACATAATTATAAAAACAAGTAAAACATTCGTCTCTTAACGTTTAAATCCATGCTTACTTTAAAAACCTGATTGTAATTATTGACACTGCTCTGCCACTGGTACAATGACATTATCTCTATACACAGGGGATGCATGGCCCTCGGACATAGCCGCATGAAATGATTAATGTGAACTCACATGGCTTGCAGGAATTGCAGTCTCATTTGAATGAGACGTTTGCGTTACCTTCCTAGGGAGTTCTACCTGGAAAAACCAATAAACTTAGGCTTATGAAAGCATTGGTTTAGGTGATTTCATGATCCTAACCTAAAGCGACGATTAACCTTTAACGTGAATGAGGAGGATGGGCAAAGCGATCCACTCGTTAATCTGTCCATTAAGCCCGCCTTCAATATATTGATAGTTTTGTGCAAAATGTGACGACAATTCATCACATGTCCAATAAAGGTTGTATACCCTCCAGCGGCTGTATTTACATACAAAATTAAAAATTAAAGAAAAATCATGAGTTTGCAAAGCAAATAGAGATTTGGTTACAAATTTGCTATGAATGGCACATTATACGTGTATTACGTGATGAAATCCAATTTGTGATTATGACATTGAGTTGCAATACTCGACGCTATTACGTCAGAAGTACCCAGGCCGGTACCATGAGGTCCGGTCCTAAGGGACATATCATCATAATATGATATCCGTGACGATCTGACGAAATGGCTGAGCCTTCAGAGCACACAAAGCAAGCATATATAGTGCCTACTTGATGAAATGAAATTCCCAGTTGTTAATGCTCAACATATTTATCTCTTTCCCCTTAATTTCAGACAAGAATAGTCATAGACAAATAAATCTGGAATATAGAATGGCTATTGAGAAGAGTCCACTTAAGGCAAAAGTGATAAACATACATGCATTGTTCCTCTAATTCCAGGAATGCATCCTTTGGTCACATATTGATCTTACATGGAAAAAGATACTCTAACGATTTGCTTTGAGCCGTGAGCACCCCTTCAGTGGTATACGTCGCCCTAACACAGTGTTATGGCCTCGCGTCACCATGGCATTTCTTGCGAGAGCCGTTACCCAAAACATGTTATTTGATGTCATTGACGTTACCTACGGCAAAGTGTTTGAATATCGATGTTGTTGTTTTTCGTGTTGTTGTTATTTTATTTACGACTCATTCGTTATCCCTGATAACCCGTCAAACTACACGTACTAGTTTTTGAGTTCATGACTTTTAGGTAAAGCAACAACAGTATATCGTGTAAAGTGTGTGCTATATTTTCTACACGGATTTATGAATGCATTTATATTTAGGAACTTATAATCATTCCTCCTCAACCCAACATTCGCAGACTTAAAATGGAAAATGAAAATCTACAAAGTCATGTCCTGGAGTAACCTCAGTCCCTCAAAGAAATAAAAGAGCACGAAGTCTGTAAATGATATTTTGTGTATCATTTGCAATGATCTCACTGACAAATGGCTATGCGTTTATTGGCTTAATTGCACCTTTCGGTTGGAGGCGCACAGGCTATTACAACTATGTTGTAAAAAAGGACATAAATAGATCAGGGAGAGAGACAACACTAAGAAAAGCCAAGGCAGCATCTACATCAGTGACTTACTAATAGCTCGTATGCTAATGATATATATGATCATATCTATAATAGGTTGCTTTGTAATAAAAAATATTAAAAGCAGCTAGTGACAAAGTGTAGTCATGTCGAGGAATAAATATTTTTGCATGCCAATGTACAGACTGGGCTTCATGGGTCACCTTGTTTTCTATAACTCTGTAAAATATGTTTAATACTTTAATACTTATGAGAGAATAAAATAAATAAATCTTGAACAAATCTTGAAATAAAAAAGTATAACCGAATGTGGTGGAATCTTTTATTTTGTGTAGATAGATGAGGTCGTGTCCTATGTGCATTAAACTATCCATTCGACCCTGGGAAATGGTGAATTTCTATACTGTACATGTAGTACCAATGACCGTATGTTACACAAAAAGCACAGTGTGATCGCTCATAACCAATGCATACCAAACATATGAAGTATTTGGGCAGAATTTCTTCAAATGCCAAGAAGAATATGAATATTGCACTCTATACGCGGGATCTTAAATCATATGATAATCTCATTTCATATATCACTAGATCTTTCTTGCGGTACAAACTTGATCTTAGAATTTGATAAAACCATGGTTAAATGAAGATAAAACGAATTGCATTTTCTCGTGAATTAGTGTAATGTGTCTTCACTATGGTTACGAAAAGTAGTAATATAAAGACTCGGTCCTTCTCAGACCAAATGGAATGGACGCTTTGAGAAGGACAGTAGTATTAAAACACTATTCACACCACTTTAAGTTCATATGTAGTTATGCTTGCGATTAATATTCAGTCCTAGGTATTAATATATAATGGTGACAGTGTCGGCTTTTGACAATCGCACAACAGTTAATTTTTTTTTAAAGGTTCAAATTTTCCCTTGCACACGAATTTAAAATTGTAATAATATACAATGTAGTGGCACAAAATGCCTCTCTAGAACCAATGTTTTCATACATTTATTTTACCCAAACCATGGATAAATTAATGAACTTTACATTCTTTTCACAAAATAATGTATAGGCCTAAGAAAGATGCAACATAACTTTTTAGTGAGGAATATTACAATTAACATATCTTAGTGTAAATGGGAGACACAACGTTATGTTACTTACATTTTATCTTTAAATGTTTAATTTACTGAAAAAAATCTGAGTCTGACCCCAATAATGACAATAAATTAATTGGAGATTTGCTAATTTATTCCATGTACCGCGTAAAGTGAACGAGGTTGTTGTATAACTCAAATTATTCCCTCAGAAAAGACTTGAGGGTAAAACGCTGTTAAGAGCATCCTTAACCTTTACTTGTGGGGTTCGTAGGTTGAAAATCAATCTCTCATGGATCCTTGTGGCGCTCTGTGTTTCCACCCTCCCCCATCTCTCTGTCTCCCTCTCTCTCTTTCTCTCTTTCTCTCTCCGTTTCTACTCCTTCATCGCAATGTGAAGTTATTTTGAATATGTGGTGATCCCAGCAGTAGTCATGACAATTAAATGAAGTCCCAAGTGTGACTAGCCTTATCTTAACCATTCAAAAAAATAACATTTATGAATGTTTGAGACCCTTTTCTATCATTTTTTCGAGATCTAAGTTGCACCGATGCAATTATTTTTAAAGAGACCTATACATCATCATTTCAGTGACTAAGATCCTTACATCCACAGTTACCCTCCAACCAATTTTTGCTTATTTCCATACTCTATTCTACGAAAAGACCTCTCATTTCCTGCTTCACCTCTTGAGAGTATGTGGAGCAGCGAAAATGCTTTGATTCGAAAATGAACAACCACTCAATTCCTCGTTTCGAATGGGACGCCGGAGATAAAGTCTAGAACGTGCTGTACGTGAAAGATGCTTTCTACCGTAGATGTAGATTTAGTTCGGTGTTGGGGAAGTGGCGCCGGAGGAGGCGATAGTCACGTTGTTACCACCCACCGACTGCTATGCCTCCAAGATCAGACGAGAAAGATGACACCCTTTCAAAGCGACCCACTGGTAATGGCAGTCTCGTATTACAGTTTCGATATAGTTGTATAATTACGTTTACTCTTCACTTTATCCTACAGTAGGGGTATTGAGAAGCATGTTATCTCTCAATCATCACTAACGCCCCAGTTCCATGTTTATGAAAAAGGAAACAACTTTATTGTGTGCCGCGGGACTCGCCTTTTTCTTTGTTCGGTCCTATCTTTTCAAACAGAACATAACATGGAAAATATGAAAGAAATCAGCTTGCGGTTTGTGGTAATGAGCGTTCGTATTGTCACAAATGTAAGATCATTATACATCAATACATCAACTTCACATGCTCCTTTGTAATTTTTCGAGCCTGTGCAAAATGATAATAATACTCAGGCATTTAATAACAAGTACTCTCAATCACCTAATGCATTTGTCAACTACGCAGATACTGTGAGTAAAACGACTCAATATCATATCCATTAAATGAGTAAAATTGTAATGGAAATGTCTATCTACGGTCTTTCTGCGTTCTCTTGCACTGCTGTTATAATATTTTTATTGGCGTGAAGTAAAATATGTTAAATTTCTTAGGACATGTGATATCTCGGGAATTAGGACTACCAATATATATATATCAGATCATTTGCCTATATCTGAGTTAGAATGTGTATATATATGTATTTCATCAAAGTAATATTTTATCTTCTACATGCATTTACGATATAAAAGTATGAAAATTACATTAGGTTTTTTTTAATAAAAAGATATAAAAAAACAGAAGTAAAGGTATACTCACTCTGAAGTCATCTTTGGTAACGAAGTAAACCGGGACAAAGGCAAACCACACGATGCAGGTCGTGTACATTGTAAAACTAATAAACTTGGCTTCGTTGAAGTTTTCAGGTATCTTCCTTGTCTTGAAAGCATAAACTGTACACATTGCTATTAAAAACATATCGTAGACTAGCGATAAAACTAAGCTGATCTCTGTTATTCCACATTTAAGAATCGCTTCTGATCTATCTTCCGCGAAACGGGTAACCGTTGAGGGCGGGTCAACTGCTAACCAGACTAACTCCCCGAAGATCTGGACACTGATGAGTCCTAAGCATATGACGAGCTGCGAACATGGACTAATGTACTTCGGTCGTTGGGCCGACCTTGAGGCGCTGTCAAAGATCCGTGCGATACGGCTTGTCTTTGTCAGCATGGCCGCGTAGCATATGCTGAAGGACAACCCAAGACCTAGTCGCTGGATAGAGCAGACAATGACCGATGGTTTGGTCACGATGGGAATCGTCATGCTGTAGCACATAAGGATCCCACCAAGGAGAAGGAAGCTCAGCTCGCGGCTGGATGCCTTGACCAGCGGGGTGTCCTGGTACTGAAAGAAAATGATAATGACTCCACACGTGACGATGATTCCCGCCAGTGAAAAGCACATCGGAACGATGGTGTACACGGATACCCAATCCATGTGCTGCTTGGCTAGTTTGTAGCACGTTGTGAGGTCTGGAGTCGGCCAGTAGCCAATATCACAGGGTCGACAGGTATATTCGTTCTGCAGATACTCCCAAGGCTGACACTTGATACACATCCAGCAACATATCTGATCATCCTGGATGAGTTTCACTTGACCAGGACCACATGGCATGCTGCACTGAGAGTATGGTACATTATGGGAATTGTAGTCCCCTAGTTCCGGGTGAAAATGAACCGCTGACAGGTTCATAGATAGAATATTAGCCCATTCACCAACCTTCACATACCGATAATCATCAGTACCTTCGATTGGTCGATAGTTCATGACGTCGTAACGTCCCAGTCCATCTCCCTGCGAATCGAAGCTAACTTCAGTATCTGCGAGATCTGCAACGTAAAAATACATGGAGTCAATGACTTATTTTACTGAACATATTATTTTGTCAACAAGAATACAATAATTGTCCTGTCTAACAAACACCAGTGAGTAGGCATCCCGGTAGAATGAAAGAATTTGAATTAATTTTTGCGAGAAAAAAAAAGTTGTTATATTAATAATTCGCATTCCTGAATCAAGTGAATGACGACATTTATTACTGCATGACAGGACTCACCTACAAATGTTGTGTTAAGAATGTATTCCTTAAAAAGTTTCCTTCCATCTATTGGCAGCATGTTATCACAGAGTTCCTCCGTGTGTGGGCACATGTCAGTTTGCATCGTATGTAGAGCATGTGCCATGGCAAACACTGCATCCACGACAAACTGTGTTTTCTTTTCTTGCGCATGATTTGCTTCATCCAGAACATTTTCAGCACACGGCGTCGATGTATTTACACTATCTCCAGGTTCCAATAGGCACTGGAACTTCTGCTCCCAGAAATCTTTGAACCATGGATTCCGCGTGTTCGTCCTTGGGTTAATACCTCGAAAATATTGATCGAACCCCTTTATCTTTTTAGTTTGGAGCTCGATCGTGATCGCTCCTTCTGCAACAGTCTCTCTCCCGTTAACAGGCGTGTCTTGAACACCCCACCCATCGCTAGCAACCCATATAAACTTCTTCGAAGCATTAACGCGAAGTGCAGCTTCCAGCAAGTCGCGTGCATCCACATCGCGGGTAAATAGAACGACAACCTTGGCTGCCTTTTTCTTGATTAACCGACTAATGATTATGTCATAAGTCATAGCATCGGGTGAGTAGGGGATTTTTTCAGAAGCTGCAATGCAGATGTTCCTATGCAACCGCTCTTTTTCAAACTGATCCATTCCAGATTCGCCGTACTCTCCAGAAGACCATACAGTTGAAACGTAAGTCCAGTTAAAGTGTGATAAGATGTCTGCAATGGCTTTGGCTTGGAGTGTGTCCGGTGGAACTGTCCTCGCGAAAAACTCAAATCGAGACTTGTCTGAAAGACGAGCGCTGGTAGACGCGTAGCTGATTTGAGGAATCTCAAACAATCTCAGTAAATTGGCCACTTGCATAGATACGGTAGAGTAGGATCCACCTATGACACCCGCTACACTGCCAGCAGACGTTGATGCTACAATAGTGCTCTTATTTAGACAATCTGCAGGATTCGACGTTGTCAAAGAAACCCGAACAAATTCAAGAGACTGCTCTAAGGCAAATGTGTCTATTGAACAGGTGTCTCTCAGACTTGCCCCTAATCTGATACCGGGTAGGATCGTAGAATCATTGTTGATCTTGTCTATGGCAAACAGCATAGCTTCGACTCGCTGGATCCCTCTATCCTCGTTGATAAGTCCACACCTCTCGTCATCGAGTGATCCCACGTTTTGTGAACCCTTCTCGTGGATCGGAAACAATCCTCCAATCATAAGGTCTCCAATGACCTTTGCTGTAATACCGGACTTCACGCTTGAACCTAGCTTTGCACACGTAGCGAGACACAGCAGTAAAGTCAAGATTAGGAGCATTGTGTGGGCGCTAGAAATCATTTTAGTGCCGGAAAAGGCTGGTGAACGCTTGAAAGTGATGGGTCCCATAGAGAGCTTGAGCCAAGGTGGTTGAGCTCTTGAAGATTGATGAGGAAATAATATTGAATTCTTCCTATTCGTGGGTTTCCTCGATTCCACTTTAGTGTCACTCGAAGTGATTACTATGGAAGAACAAGAAAAACAAGAAATGGTTTACAATTCTTAGATTTTTTTTTGTAATAAGAAAAACATTAATGCTTTAAAGTACAGTATTGTAAATCAAATAAATCAAGCTGTATTGCCTCTCCAAATTAAAAATTATTGATATTAAATAATAAACAAAATTCATTATCATTATTATTAGCAGTGATGAATTGCACTTCGTAAAATTAGTTGCAATAATGCGAAATTTTGTCTCAGAAGAACCAAATATCAAAAACATTTTCAAAATAGTTTAATATACTGCATTATTTAGGATGAGTTACATGGATATGGACGCATGCAAGGTTCAAAGTCACATTAACAAGTCGTAACTTAGAATAACCAGGGTGGGCGGTCAACACATCCTCTAGGGTTTGCGACATATCTACAATTTTAATGATGCATCTCAACAATTTTTAGGGGCATCAGAGTGTCCTTATTGGTAACATGACGCCAAATATGGCATGTCTATAGATCAAGCTTTGTTCGTTTGTCTTTCCCATTGTTACCCATTATTAACGATAATTAAGACTATTTGAGCACATTTTTCGTAACGACAAAAAACGTGAAAATAGATTAATCATCATGAAAGAAAAACAGCAGAAAGTTGATAAAAAGGAGCAAGTATTTTCCCCCTAGGAGACAACAATGACGGATTTGCTGCCATTGTAGAGGGATTAATACTTACAACTTACATTCATCCCCATCCCAACCCTAATCTGGTGATGCTTCAGCCACATTTCTGTTCATAAAGTAGAAAAAAAAGAAACTTTGTTTTCCTTTTTTCTCTTCTTTCTACACTTGAAAATGTTGAGATGAATCGGGGGAAATGTAGGTTTAAACGCTATTGTTTTGCTCAATGATGTGGCATGGGGCATTTCGAGTAGCATATTCTATATGAACGAAACAGCATGGGGTATTTGAGTACCATATTCATACAGTATCTATGACAATATTGATAAACCTTCTAATCAAGACAATCATAACGCTTCATCACATTCTAATTTAAGAAAGCGACACAAAGAATTAAAGCATACATGCATATCCAAGTATTGGCTGAAATTAATTGCAATGTTATGGACGATGCAAAGTAGATCTATAACGGGTGATTGTAAAGTTCTTTTTATTCGTGTGCCTACTAATCAACTTAAAGCATGCATGAGTGTATTACGGTAGTACAAAGCGACAGAATAACAATATTTTATGCTAAAGTTTCTCTTATTTGTGTCTATCGGATTACGCATTCAAAGTTCGTTGCTATGTAATTATGATTACAGACTCGATCGAATAAGCACAAATGGGAAAGTGATCCCCATTTTTTATAAATGTTGAATCCATATGACCAATAATGACGACAACATGACGACACATGACGACAGATTTTTATGGCATCAGCTCGGATACATGTTCCACAAAACATGTATATTTGGTTCTGACCTCAAACAAATATCACCGATCTTAATAATAGATGGATTCTGCTGATGAGAGAGGGGTACTTTTAAAATCCTTTGATTATGACATATATCGAACGAATCAAAGCACCCAAAGTAGTATTTCTCGAGAAAATGGGATCGAATATCGCTATGGCCCTTCCAGTTATTGCCAGACTGGCCGAAATCCCCCCAATAAAGCTTTTAGAGCACACTTATGTCTATATTTTTTTGAAGCAAAGTCACGACTTTATTCCCATAAGGGAGAAACATTACCTTGTTGGGATGATTTTGTCCGAATTGATAAAAACATGTCAGTTTATTATATCATATTTATTTGGTTTATTGCTTATAGTAAAATATTCTCTTGCTCTCCATTTTTTTATACTTCATTTCGAAAGACTTCATCATTCTATTATCCTCTCCTCAGTCCCTTTCTTCTCACAAACACTATTAAAAGAACATTGTTGCATTGTGAAAAGACATTATTCGATTCATATTAATTGACGGATCAAATATTTTGACAAGGAGTCAAATGTTAAACAAGGCCTTTAATTCAGGTGTGGTCTATATTATTGACATTACGAAGATGCTTTTAGCGTGGAGGTTGGAAAGGTGAAACAAGGAAACGGCAATGAAATGCGACCAGTCGTGGCAAAAGACATCATTTATGAATCAAATCACGTCTGAAGCCTGTCTTATTATATCCGTCATAGAGGCCACTTCTAGCGAGAAAGAGATGAAAGGTTGAGAAGGAGAAGTTTAATGATTTTTGTTTTCGTTTTCATATACATAAGGTTGATTATTGTGGATTACAAATTGTTATCATTGTATTACGTTGATTGTAATCATAATTATGATATCCTGTAACTCAGCCCTAAACTAGTGCACCATATTAGAAATGTAGCAATACGAATGTATATTCACCCTTAAGCATTGATAAATATACATATATACATATATATATATATATATATATATATATATAATACACACATAGTATCAAACCGCTTAGTCAGTATGGACAAACCAAAATAAGAATGGTCAAAGTAGCAAAATAATTTCTACTTATCTTGGTTTTGATGCGACGAAACGTTTAACAAACGACTAAATACTTACTGGATCAGAAATAACTGTATATTAATGATTATTTATTCCCATATATTTTGATGCACTTGCAAGACCAGAGTCGGTAATCAAATTCTCATGGAATCAAGTAAAATACAGTTCACAGGTCTATTTATCTAGTTGCTAAATCATCGAATATTGAAACTTAATACCGCGGAATAAAAATGAAGTAGTGCTTAGGAGTGACGTCGTTTCTCTTCAGAATTATGATACGATCCCTAGACGACTTTCAACGTGGCTCACATACAACGAGGCGAGGCGACTGTCTTCTGAGTGTATGTTATCATTACAAATCTGCGCCACTGAACTGAATTCCTAAGAAAAATGAAAAATCTCTTTATGAACAGCAGTGCCAGCGTCAAAGCTAGCAGAGAAAATGTAAGAATCGAACTGAGATCTAGGTCATTCTAGTGGAATTAATGGAGATTATTGTACTGAAAATTCACTTACTACAATTTTTGCACTACTTTCTAGATTTTTTTAATTGGTTTAACCTCAAGTTTCTTCTATAAGCGCTTAATGCGGCTGCGAAACGGCGCCGAAACGATAAAAGGGAAAATATATTTAGTTCATGTCAACAGTGTTGGTGTATACAAGTATATTTGTGAGGCAGAGTGGGTTTCGTGTTCAGGGGCAAACGGGTGCATAAAAGGAGGAATAAATATAGTAATAGGAATGAGAAGAAGAGAGGGGTAGAGGGAGAGGGCTTAAGAGCTCTCACAATTTTATGAAAACAGTTTGAAAACATTGCATGAATGAAATCGAAATGCAACTTCATCACTAGATCTTTGAGTGCGTGATTGCTGCTAGAGTAAGAGTCACGTTTTCCATCATTTAATCCTAAATGAAAGATTTGTGTCACGAGGCGAATGACCCCCTTTCCCCCAAATATAGGTCTCTGCGTGATAACTAGCGGAGACACGCAACATTTGGAAAGTACATTATGTAACGGTATAAGTCATTCGTAACGTTTCAATTCCCATAATTCAGAGCTCCTCCTAATTGCACCGGGAATGACAGTTTAATTAAAGGCACGATATTTGTTAAGGTGATGTGGGGCTTTAACCTGTCCATCACAGACAACCAACAGACAATCACAATACAAGGAAAGCACATAATTGGAACGATTTACATGTTCTGGTTTTGAAAGTAGTACTCGTCCTTTGCCGAATGTCTGATTTTTTAATTAAACGTTTTTTTTTGGTTAAGCATGTTAAACTGCTATCGAATTATTTTAAAACCTTTGTCTTGTGAATGAGCCATGCAAATATCTATTTAAATGTGTACACAAAATAAATAAAAAACAACGATTCAGTAAATAACCACATTGAAGTTTTCATCTTCTTTTGCATCCAGTTTTTCTTCATCTATTTAGAAAATGGCGCTCAAATATGTTTTCATGGAACTTAATGTTTAATATAACCATATATTGTGTGCGGGTAAGCCTAAATCCAATGACCGGGGTAATAATTATGACTGCAGGGCCCTCAGGGAGAACAGTATGAATACTGATGAGGGTACCCTGGGTAAACAAGACATATTATTATTATTATTATTATTGCAATTTTGCGTCAAGTTTTAAGCTCTGCATAAATATTTTATTCCTGCTAACTTTCTCATTTATCTTTTGGACAATCCTGATTTTGGACTGACATTTGAATGTAGACTAGTGCCTTTAAAATCTTAATTCTAGTTTGATACGTTTCCAGCAACCGTTTTGAGAGTATAGGTGTATACTTATCAATGTAGCATAGATATTAAAGATCTTTTTCTACTTCCCCGACATACGGAAGGACCTTGCTCTTAACAAACGACAGTGATCGATGCACGGAAGGGCAAATTTCAATACACCACCAATTTAATCCATTAGCACCTAATAGCAAGTGATTGGCCTTTGTGTGCCCCATATAAAATGATTGAACGTGTTAAAACACATTATGTAAATAAGCGTATTGAAGCCATAACCGATTACTGGACGAAAACTCTCACAAATTTGGAATTAAGAGGTACAGTTCTGCGTGGACAGATTACAACAATCAATACCTCTCATTACTTTTACCATATTTTTTTAGAAGTAGACTTATACTATGTATCATTGATGTTTCGAAATTTGGTGACTTTCCCCCACAATCCTTTCCAAATGAGAAAGCATTTGAGAATTAATTGATCCGTCTGTCTAATCTAGGATTGTCTGCTTTGGGCGTTGTTTATTAATAATAACAGACAGCTGGAGTGATTGATGAAAAATGCCCCGACGGCAAATTTGGCGCTCTGTGTCTGGTCATACTCTCAGAAGTGTGATGGAAATGTGCCAGTAATGTTAATAAGAATGCAAAACTCTGCCTACATGAAGATATTTTAAAGGACTTCCTCCGTGATAGTGATTTAACAGAGAGGCCAAGCGTTCCGGAGA